CTATGGAAAAATGACCGTATTGGTAACAATTATAGCAGATGTGCTTCTTGGGATTCTTCGATTTAAAAGTGACTGATTTGGTAAGATATAAGAGGCTATTAGCATTCAAGTGATATCGACTAGGGTAGCGTATTACTGAAAACTCATATTTCTGTAAGGCCAAAATCTAGCAAGCAAGGTGACTTTTTGGCAGTTGATATTGTAGTAGAGACCTAAGAGCTGAATAGTCTGTAACGATAATGAAGCAGGATCTATAGAGATATTATCAGAAGTAAGAGACTGACCCAACAACAGCTAGATATTTCTGCTCAATTACAGAATAATTTTTTTTGGCTAGAGTCATAGTCCTACTGGCATAATAAATCACCCATTCTCTCACTTGGGGTCTTTCTGTGCAAGTATAGCTCCCAATGCAATCTTAGAGGTGTCTGTAAATAGAAAAAATTCTCTTGCGAAATCGGGATAAGCCAGAACAGGTACGGTAATAAGTTTTTCTTTAAGGTCATCAAATACCATCTCATGATCCCAGGTCCAGATATATGGAATATTCTTCTTTAGTAATTGATTAAGAGGGGTGGCAATTTGAGAAAAATTCTAGATAAACTGGCGATAGTACGATGCAAGTCTCAGAAATCCACATAGTTGATGAAGGCCAGTGGGTAGAAAAATTTTTAATGACCTCTACCTTTTTCAGGTCAGTGAAGATACCTTCTTCGTTGATGACATAGCCAAGAAATTTAAGTTTAGACTTGGCGTAATAGCATTTTTTGAGATTTAATCTAAGTCTGGCATCTTGAAGTCAATCAAATACCTTGAAAGATATAAGATATGTTCATTAAATATAGAGAAGAAGATATTGATATCGTCTAAATAGATGACCACAAATTTACCAATAGCTTCTTAGAAAATTCTATCTATAAGTTGTTGAAATGTTGCCAGGGTGTTGGTAAGGCTGAAAGGCATTACATTAAATTCGAAAGTTCTGAATTGAGAGATAAAAGCCATTTTTTCTTTATTTATAGGGTCTATCTCAATCTGCCAATATTCAGAGACCAGATCCAGAGAGGTATACCAGGAAGAATGTCAAAAAGTGTCTAACAAATCATCAATTCAGAGAAGAGATAACTATCTTTCTTTGTAATAGCGTTAAGATAATAATAATTAATGCAGAATCAGGTTTTGTCATATTGCTTGATAAGTACGATAGGTGAGGCCTATGAACTATAGGAAGGTTTGATAAATTCCTTCTGAAGCATCTGATTAATTTTCTCTGATAGGAATTCCCACTCTTTAGGTGAAGTATGATAATATCATTGCTTAATGAGAAGGGCATCACCAGTATAGATAGAATGGGTGACCAGGTTAGTTTGATCTAGACTTTGAGGATCTATACAAAGAGATCATCATATCCTATTAGCAACTCTTCTAGCTTATCATGATCATCATTCTACAAGCTTCCAATCTCTAACTCCTGTGGAGGTTCTTCTATCTGGTCAAAAAAGAACTTATGTTGAGGCTCTGATTCATTATTGTTAAAATTAGAGAGAATATCAGCATCCGGTAACTCATAGTCATCATCACTATTAATAT